CAAAGGATCATACAATAAAAAAAAGTATACTTCAATACAGAAACTAATGAAAACCATTAGATAACAAATTGTCTATTTCTATTCTACTGCAGTTTCCATACAAACTCGTAAGTACAATATTGTTACGATGCACTGAATAGCTCAATCAAAGCCGGTAGCCAGTCACTCTACACCCCGCGCAAAAATTAAGTTTGTATACCATTGCAAATCACCATCTCGCTCTCTCTCTCTCTCTCTCTCTCTCTCTCTGTCAAATTTTCCATATAAACACGCTTATTCGCAAATAGCGATCTCTCATCAACTGACTTTGCCATCTGACAACTGCAGCAGTAGCATAGTCATTGCCCGAGTCGACTGCAGTAAATTAGCTTCTCTCGCGAGCTGCCTGGAATTTTGTATCATGCCCCCACACGGCAATTCCATAATTCACCTCGAGAGGTATGAACCGTCGACGATTATGCGCACTCGTCTGTGCCATCATTTCAACCGACGACTGTACTTGCCCTTTATATAGCAATTATTTCAAATCCATATTATGCTGTACGGATTCATTTATATCGAGTCGATGCGCAACGTTACATTTCGAAAAAAAAACACGCTGGTGGTGTTTGATTTCAATTTGCGAGGTACTTCAACTTTAAAATAATTAAATTTTATATATCGTTACTTGAGTGTAAAATATATACATAATTATTGGTTTTGGCAAGTCGATATCATATCGTCTGCCGCGATATAAACTTTTACGAGCGTAGTTCGCGTGACAAGATTAAATCAACTTTAGCCTCGTTAAAGAATAAAAGAAAAAAGAAGGGGCAGTAACAATTAGCTGGAAAAAAATTCTAAAAATGAAAAAGCAGTAAGTGAACTGAAGCGGTAAGAAAGAAAATTTAAGTGCAGCAATCTGCATGTAATTGAAGCAGACTGCATACTGTAGTTTTACAATTTCTTACATTTTGAGTACAACGAATAATCTCCTTTGTTCCACATGTTGTTAAAAAGAAACTTTTGTATACTTTATATTTTCAACAACGAAGTCGTGACTGTTGTTGGTTTTTTAAATTCCATTATTAATCATACTAAAAAATGAAAACTGACTTTTGAACTTGTATATGTAGTATGATAGTATGCTTTACTCGGGTGCGCTTGAAGAGCTTTTGTAGTCGCACAGCAGCTGGCAAGACATTATTTGTGTAATACGACTTGAACTGTACAACTACAAACGTGATTGTTGGTCTGAAGTTGTTAAACTATGTACGTAGGGTGTATGCGTAACAAAACACGGTCACAAACAGCCATTTCAGTACAAATTGTGGCTAGAGTGTGCCGTAAATGTTTTCTCATCTTCTTTTAAACGACAGGCATTACTTATTTCTAAGTTTTAGATTATTTTAAAATAATAATAATTGTTGTTACTACGTCGAATAATAACAGAGAAAAAACTATTCCAAAATTTTTAGTAGCAAACACTTTACAGATTCAAAGTTTCATAGGCTTGAAAAAAGGCTCGTTGTTTTTTTCCCTACGTCTTAATGCAATTGTGTTCAAAATGAAACTATACCCTTAATTTAATTTAGCATCGCTGATTTTTCATAGATACTTTCTTCACGTATTGAATCATATCGAAAATAATATTCTTATTTTAATCTAAATTTACTTACCATTTTATGAATTATAATGACTATCTTACAAAATAAATATTAAATCAATGATAATAATGAGGAGACGTGCAAAGGGTATAACAAATTTAAATTGTGAAGTAAATAAAATAGGAACTTCAGCAAATTGCCAAGATGCATTACATTTATTCAGTAGGTAGTAATGATTGAGACTGAAACATTAAGAAAGCAATTAGCGTGAGCGAGGGAATAGATGGTCTACGAGCGCCTGCACGCCCTTCATTATCATCAACGAAAGCGCGGTAAGGTAAACTGGAACTCGTTCGCCTCAATGCGCAAGGACAAACGGCACCGAGCGAGAAAGTGAGAGCTTTGATGCCTCGTGGCGTCGTCAAGCTCTCATCTATCCATTATGCATTATCGCAAAGTGGATGCAAGGACAGATCGATGCGCCGCCGCAACGACACTCAACGCCCGACCAAGAGGATCATCCGATGTGCGAGAGGATCAACTTTCAGCGCTGTTTCGTGCTTGCACGCGTGCTCCCTCGCGTCTCTCGCTATAGAATTCCTAATTGCTTCAGTGTTTGCTTACCCCACTGAGTAGAGTAAAATCGCGGGATAAAGCTGATATTTTGGAAACAAAATTATAAAATCGAAAGTACGCTATTCGGAATTTTCACCCGTCAAGCTCTTACAGCTGAGAGATTAATCTCTATTTTCGATAAAGCAGGAGAAATTGAGTTTTTACATTTTTTTCTAGTTTCCATGGATGGATAATCCCGAGCGAAATTGGAATTTCGAGATTATATGCTACGATTCTCGCGCGAGCTATAGAAAAAATTTTGATTTGAATGTTAATTGAAAACTGAAAATCGACTAAAGGATTATACTGATTTTGAGAAATTTATTTTTTTTTCAAGACATCGTAATTAAGAATGTTAAGTTTTCCTAAACATTTGCAAAACGTGCGTTGGATAAAGTTTGACAAAAGTTATACCAGGAGACAATGCTAATTTTGATTATTCTGTTGGGTTCTTCGTATAAAAGTGGAATACTCTTACCAAACTAATTTTTGTCAAAGATCAACCAAACCTTATTCAACCTTATTTAATTGTTTTGGTAAACGTTTGACCATATTGATATCAAACTTGCGAATAAACAAAAAAAATTAAATTCCCAAAATATCATTAACAAAAGTTTAGTAAAAATATACATAATTTTACCCGAAGAAATCAATCGAATAGTCATGTTTAGTATCGTATGATGAAACAATTTTTATCACACATCATCTGACACAAGTTTTGCAAACGTTTAGGAAATGTTAAAATTTTTTTATACGGGGCAATTCATTACGATTTGTAAAAAAATTCGTAATCTTAATTTGTAGTTTGCAACGTTGCTGCTTGCATATTGCAAATTGTCTTACAACATCTAGAACAAATTTAACGTGCAAATTGACGAGTTTCCGCCTGACGACGTTACTTCCGCCGAAGGTTCGTGTAATATACGCGTAGCCCTGGGGGGACACGCGATACACGTTCTGTCTCGCTCTGTCTCGTTACACGTTGATACACGCGGATAATTGACGGCTATCATCCCGAACTAATTGACCACGCGTAGATGACAGCGTTGACGACAGAATTTTTGACTGAAGCTTCATCGATTAATTGATCCAACGAGCGTTTTGTAATCGCTTATCTCATGAATGACAATTGCGGTAATGCTTACGAGATTATTTAAAATTTGAAAATGATTCTTTCACCCAGCATCGGAATTTTATGATACCTCATTGACCCGTCAATGATTGATTTTAGTTATATTTATATAACTAAAATAAATTTGAGTTTTAGTTTCAGTTATATTTCCTAGAAAATACATATTTGATTCTTCATAAAATATGTTATCACGTCTGCACTCTGACCACACTCGATACACCCTGCTTCTTATTACTTCATTCTGAAAATGATGAATAATAATTAATGTACCACGATTAGCTATTGATAAACTGTAATTTACTATTTTCTAATGAACCAATGCATACAGTTAACAAAATTGATCAATAATTTTATGGAATATTATGATTGAATTTTCTTATCAAATGAATATTTAACTTTCAATATCGTATTGTACATACAAAGAATGCGTTCGATGAATATCACAATAATAGCTAAATTAGAGCTATGTCTAATAGTCGAAACATCTATCATACAATTAATTGGAAACACCAGAGTTAAAGCAACAATTTTAACGATAAGTGCTAGTTGAGCCAAAAGATACTCAACTTAACTTCCCGCTAAAATTTTTCAAAACCGCAAGCGTACGTGCTGCAAACGGATAGCATTTAGTTATAGATAATAGATAGAAAAAGCTTTAAAGCATCAAATGGCTTGTAACACGCCTTTACCGACGATAAAGAAAATGTACCTTCGTGAATATCGCAGTATTGCTTCGCCTTTGTGGGCCTTTCCTCACTACTTTCTGCTGTGCGAGCGCGTTATCATCATGTAATTTCTACGTTTGTCACTCTTGTGTACTGACAGGGTGAGGGAAACACAACTCCGCATAGTTATTACGCTATGAAATTCACGCGAAAGTTGGAGTACGACAGGACGAGCATACGAAGTAAAAACACTGGCGTGTATTTGAATTTTGTGTTTTCGTTGAAAATGATATTATACTGGAATTTTTTTCGACAAGCTCGATATAAGCCACTCTCGTAATGAGATTTACTAATGGAGGAAGGTGTTTATCTTCACGGTGGTCCAATTTCATTTTAACGCTAAGTTAGCTAGAGCCGAAAGTTCTCTGGAAACGAGAAAGTTTTCGCCTAAATAATTGCATATCTTGTTCGATGCAAAACTTTTTTGATGTCACGGAGAAAACGATCGAAAATTGTTTTACATGGTAGTTCGCAAAATCGCGGCACGTACGTTTCTGGGATATTAATTTGAAACAACTTCCGTAACTCGAAATTTGAACATTCCCAAAAAGAATCTTTTATAGCGTAATAAAATTCTTGATATTTATGACTTTCGGCAATAAATGAGGCTACATCGGCCATCATCTTTGTCTCTATCTCTTACTTTATTTCGCCCTCTCCCACTTCGCTGCCGGGCGCGTACATTGTATTATCTTTCAAGATCCTCGACGAGCAACTGCACCCAGGTATAAGGTCGTCCAATCTTTACAAGTTAGCGACGACAAGTTCAAAAGGCTAAGGCTACGGCAAGAAGGCACGTTCCGAAATTGCCTCTACAAAAGAAATTACTTTTGGCGTGTGCGTCAGTTGCAGGCACTTGCTCGCTTCTCCCCCCTAATTTTCTGCCTCGAGCCCAAGATATAGCTGTGTATGTGAAGTCTCCTGTGCGTTTGCGTGTTTCAGCGCCCGGAAGGAGTGCGGATGAAGTACTGATCGGCGAGGTGGACATTGCGATGCGTGGCGACGACGACAACCCAAAGCAGATTGCCAGCACTTCGGAGCGATCTTTCACGTCCAACAAGTGTATTGTCGACAATAAGGCCTACTCTCACAGTCAGATGGTGAGCCTTCGTTTTTCATTTCAGTCACAATGCAAAAATCGCACGATTATTGTCTCTTCGCGAGTTCATTACAGAAGGTAACGAGCGTGATTCTGCATTTTGAAGCGCGGTCAGCGCTATCGGTAATTAGATGCTAGCCATTAAGATTTCACTGCGGTCTCTTCCGCTGCTCAAGCAGCAGCACCCTTTCGATTTCTAAAGACCACTTAAAAAGTTTTTTCAGCCCCTCATTTCCAACGCCTACAGTTCTTTGTTCGTTGTTTCGTTAAAGTGCAAGTTACTTTTTGTTTGATCTAACGAGTGTGCCGACGCCAACAACAACTTTTCTGCAAATATTTATTCGCCGCAGTTTCTCTCGCATAAAAATTTACCATACTTCAGCAAAATATAGATTTTTGATAACACTTGCCGGATAAATTAGCAAAAAAATGTGAGACGAAAGGAATATGTAAAATATCGAGAAGAGAAGAATCGTCCGAGTGTAACACATTGGGATTCCTATACGTAGACGGCCGCACGGGGCGGCTGCTCAAACATTGCTGAGCAAAAAAAAAGCCGGTCACCACAAAGGCCAGACGATTTTTTCGCAGTCGCCTATCAGAAAACCATGAATATTGATGTGTGTGCCTCGCCATTTTTTCCCTCGACCGACGGGATAACTGAGATTCAACGGGTTGAGTTCCATTATACTTCAATTTGAATTTTTTTCCCTCGGTGACAATGAAAATGGACTGAAAGGTCGCAAAATTCTTGACTAGCTTATTTCTTCGTGAGATAGTTTTTTTGCGTATTTATCATTTTATTAATTTTTATATAACTGTCATTATCGAAAATTTTGTTTAATTCTCGATTTGAAACCATTAGCAGCCATTTGGAAATGAAAATATCAAATTAACGTTACAGCCTGACACATTTGAAAGATTAAACTTGCCAGCGTAAAGAGTGGAAAAAGGATATATGCTCTCGATCATCACGCTTTAGGAAAATGAACCTGACATAGAGTAACGGTAAAAATTTGAACATTGAAGGAATATGACAAAACGGCGCACCGAACGGAGATATGAGATAGCGTACACGCCCTGGAAGCACTCCATTATTTTCACATTCAATTAGCAACGTTCGAGTGCACGTTGACGTTTCCCCGGAGGATTACGAGTTGAGCTTAGCAAAAGCTGGAATCAGGCCATCGTTCTATAGTTGCTGTATGCTGAGAGACTACTGATCCATCTTATCCCTCTTCTTTCTTTGCTAATGAGCGGCCTGCTGTTAAAGTTTGCACCAATAAATACTTGATCGAATGTATTTCGTGTATTCTCAATCTAGTTCAAAATTATATCTCGATCTCACAGTATCCAATATTCCAGAATATTTCATTGCATTTACTCAACACACGCGTTAGAAATCAGTAGAAATTTTAAATACTCGAAATTGTATCAAATTATTTAATAAAGTGAATGAAAATAAAATTGAGAAAATGAAGACAAATTAAAGAAAGCAACTTAACTCTTGCACTGCTTAACTTAATAAACAGACCGTGTACATTACATGTGAAAGTGAACAAAATCTATCTAACTTAGATACGAGAGGCATCAAATTCAAAATTAGGATGATTCTTAGTAATGTTGTTATGAAAAGCTTTACGAAGGTATATATTGAATAAATTTGGCAAGCAGTTGATTACGATCTTGGACATTCTACATATTCAATCCAGACAAGAGCTGAGCGACTGCTCGAAGCGGTAATGAAATCAAATTCAAGTTTGTCCTTATCGGCGTCGCGCTCCGCTTATCGGCGCACCGTGGCCTCAGCTCTTTGCTCCGTGTATTTAGAATTCCAATTTCGCCTATGAACTTTATCGCATTGACAATTTCGCTACAAAAGATAATAATATCTATACTAAACATTTTCTTATTACTTTTTTACTGCGGCACGCTTCAATAACCTAATATTATTTATATGTATACCTGTATACATTTCTTGAACTGCACATTTTATCAACCTAATTCAAGCAGTGATATATCAGTTATCAGATTTTATTACACGACCACCTTAACCCATTAACATTCTGACGGACACATTTTGTACACCTTTCTTTCAGCGCTCACAGCTATTGCATTCCGAAGCGAAGAAAATCTCAATAGATGTATTTTTATAGTTTGAAGTGGGCTCTTTCTGGTGGTACCGTTCAAATTATCGAAGAATTTCATTTTTGGAGTATGCCCGGTGCTTTGCGAGGTGACGTGTTTACAAACACTCCGCGTTATCACCGGATAGAGATTTGCTCTCGGAGTTTTTCGGCCATTAGGCCTATTTCAGTTGTGATCAACTCATCTGAAATGCAGTTTGCGCTTGATAGGGTAGATCCTGCTGAATAATTTAGGTTTGTTGTTAGGCTTGTTATTAGACAATGTTCGGGTAAAGGAAGGATGCAGGTATACATTTTAATACGTGAATATTATTTTTAGTGTATTTATTTTGTAATGGTTTACACTTCGAATCACCTTAAATTAACAAGAACTTTACAATATTGAAACATACAAGAACTTTAGAATATTAAAACATACAAGAGATTTATAATATGTAAACATATAAGAACTTCACACGCAAATTTGGGCGACCTTCTTTAGCATAGGTTGCCAACGCAGAATTGCTCGTCGCTATTGAGTCAGTCTTTTTTAAGCACTCGCTCGCTCCACCCTACGTTTTCTCTTGGGCCCAGAGGTCGTAAGTGTTTCCTACATTTCTTACTCGGTATCGGAGGATCCGCTTCCCACTCCATCGCCATGGCTGTCTGCACGTTTTGGCACCGTGACGCAGATTGTGTCTCGCTTGAAGGCGATTATCACCGGCCTGTGCAAGCGAGACACAAGATCAGAGCCCATGCTTCTAATCCTAAAGGAGGTGGCGATGTGCCTGCCACCATGTGTAACAGTCATGTGCGCTGGATGAGCAGGAGAGCAGCAAGTATCATCGCAAGAGAAAGCACGTGTATGCGCTCAATGATGCATTTCTTTGGAAAAACCCGCAAATCTTCGGTTTCGTGCCGATGGCCGCGCCGTCTTGCGCCATTGGCCATGTCTCCTTTTCGCTTTTCCTGATTTTTTTCCAATAAGAACAATGAAGAAGGGCGCTACGACGAGCGAAGTCTCCGTCGTGTTAGTCGGATGTTTCATCCGCAACGAACAAGCCAGTGCAAATTACCTGAAAATGGCTTATTCAATATGATTTTTCAGTATCCGTGTAAAGTTATAGTGACATCTTCGAAACCAGACCCAAAGACGATCAAGCTATTGTTATTCCAATTTCAAAAGACTTTCCAAACAAGGTTTACATTGAAGAACTTAACAAACATATGAAAAATGAAAATAGTTTCCTCTTCGTTTCAAAAACTTCTGGAGATGTCTCCGTGTTATTTTCGACAATTCATCTGTAGCAAGTATGTTAGTTAAGCCAGTCCATAATGTAAACATTGCCAAAAATATTGTACCTATAAAATTTCTCGTAACCATATCGATCAAAGTTCTAATTTCTAACGTGGCCTATGGCATCTCTAACTCGTCTCTAGAGAAATTCCTAACTATCGACTACCAAATTAAAACTGCTTCCAGTGTCTCGGAATTAAAAGAGATATTTATCCTGAAGGTATCTCCTTTAAAAATGTTAAGAGCTTTAGACGAGTTGTATATATACATCCAGATAATGTTTATAAACTGCCTAAGGGACCTGTTAAATTTTCCACATTAGCGATAGGATTGAACGTCTTTTTCGATGTTTAGAACCCCAAGTACTTTCTTTACTCTTCTACCAGTCATTTCAAAAACAGTTTCCTTCTGAACAAAGAAATTACCACTCTCTCTCAGCCAAATCAAATTATCAAAGAAGATCACCTCCATGGTAACGAAGATAGCAAACAAATCAACACCGTAAAATTAAATATAAACAAAGCACTCCCATGTCAGCCCACCTTAGAACATATACCTCTTGACTACGAACAAGAGGATTTCTCACTGAATCAAACACCTCTTAACTTAAAGTTGGAAAAATTCAAATCCCCTTTCATAACCAGTGCAAAACCTCATCTCCACCTTGATCCACGCTCTAAAAAACGCTAATAATATCAAGAGATCCTTAGTCCTACTTCTTAGAACTCCACTGAAACAATTTTTAGCCCCCATCTTTATTCAGACAATCTAGCAAATAAATACAAACATAAAACTTCAAATACTATCGAAAAAACCCGTATCAACCACAACACAAATCTAATCATCAACTTCAAAATAAATTCTCTCCTCAAACCTGTAAAATGTTACATCGAAGCCAGGCGAAATAAACATCAACTAGATTTTACCTTTAATGACATGATCAATATTTTAGTGAAAACTAAATCAGAAAATCAAACGACTAAAAAGAAAATGGCCCTATCAACTTCACACAATTGTCCTGAATTGATTGGATTATTGAATAATAATCGTCATAGGTAAAGGCATCAAATCTAATATCGCCTCTCTGCGCAAAGCTCTCGAAAATGAAGAAAACCCTAATTTTGATTACTCAATTTTCTCATAATGTGAATGCTCCGATCCTTCTCTAAACTAAGTTTACCATGAATAACCTAGTAAGCTCTTCATTGTCAACGGGTAATCCCACCCTTCTCCACACCCAAGACCTGAAACTATTATTATGGAATACCAGAAGCATACTCCTTAAGACAGAAGAATTATACCAACTTCTTAATAATATTGACATTTTCAACTGTCTTGGAATATGAATCACAGACAATATTCTAAATTGTAGTCTTCCGGGCTTCAAAACTTTTCGTTAAGACAGAAATGACGGGAAAGGCGGCGGTATCATCTTTCTAGTCAGAATTAACCTAACCTTCCACGATTTCTCTAACCTGTCCAGTCCAGCGGACTCTATAGAAATTTCTGGCATCATATTAATCAATTGTAATTCTCAGGTAAATTTAATATGCTATTATAGAGCCCCATGTCTTACTC